CGCTCGGAATTTCGTAATAGTTGCAGATATCTGACTGTATGATCTCTTAAATGGGGTGATAAGTCGGCAAAAAAAGGAGTTTTTGCTGTTCATCAGCTCATCAGCATATTGTTGCCTACTAATACTATGGTTAAGCAAGCATGCCAAATAAGTTCAGCGTTCGTGTCATTTGATGTTCTGTGACATTATGTGCAAACCCCAAATGGCACAAGAAGCTTTTAGCTATCGACCAATGGGTAAAAGCCCCGATATCTCGCTGTCACCACCTAACACTAAATTGGAAACATTTTCTGTAAAAACAACCACAACGTTACAAAATACCCACACACTCGCCCCATCAACATTTTGTGACGGGTATATGTTACACAAATCGATAATGAAAGTTCGTTGAGCATCCACGCAATTCTAAATCATTAACCTTTTTTCTTGATTCTTTTCTACAATCAAAACTCTCTTCCTTTTCTCACATGCAACCTCTCTAGTTTTCCCAATGCGATCCACGAACGGCTCGCTTTTGACTTCTCCATTAAGTGAGCTGAAGGTTAGTTTTTGTTATTAATGGCATTAGGAAAGAGTTCGAGAGCGTAGAAGTCGTTTGCCTATAAGTGGACCGAGAATTACAGATTTAAACTTTGGAGACTGACGAGGAAAAGGTTTTATAAACAAAGTCCAATTACAAATCATTTGAAGAATAGTAGAAACACAAATTTGGAATTAATAAATCTACAGTTCCCCTAAACTTATAACAGCCGTTCTTAACCCATCTTATAACTCAATTCTCAAATGCCCTCTTACTTCTTGATTGTCAATCTCCAAAGGTATAAAACTGTCAAAAGATACTGTAGGAAAAGATGTCTCCACTTCGACTCCATCAGTATCGTGCTGGTTCTGTAACATTTGTAACTTTCGTTTAGCTTCCTTTGCTTTTGCCTTCTGCTCCATATCTTCTTGTATTTTCGCAATGAGTTTTTCTCGTTCCATGTTTTGCACTTCTTCTAGATGTTTTTGCAGTTCAAGAGCCTTTTGCTGTTCGGCCTATGGAGGGGGAAAATGTGTGAATGAAAAATATTGGATTGGGAGGGTAAGTTATAAATAATGATTACAAAAATTTGCTG